CCTTGACTTTGGTTCAAAAGAGTTTGTTTTCAGTCCAAAAGTGATCCAGAAATATCTTAGGGATTTCTTAGAGGAGTCTCTTACACATGACTGGGACAGAATTCTAAAGTTTTCACAATGCATTTGAGATTTTAGCAGACACATTAAAAAAGCCTTAAGAGGATCATAGATCTGTCTGGTGTTGAAAACCAGCCTAGTTTAACACCTAAATCATTTTGAACCTGGGCCTACTCCATGGGTAGTAGGATTTAAGATTCTTTTTCGCCTCACACTATTGTTTTTTTGTTTTTGTTTTTGTTTGAGTTGGAATCTCACTCTGTCCCCCAGACTGGAGTGCAGTGCCACACTCCTGGCCACTGCAGCCTCGACCTGCTGGGCTCTGGCGATCCTTCCGCCTCAGCCTTCCAAGTAGCTGGAATTACAGGCGCGCGCGCTACCACGCCTGGCTAATTTTTTGATTTATTGTAAAGATGAGGTCTCGCCAAGTTGCCCAGGCGGGTCTCGAACCCGCGTGCTCAGGCAATCCACTCACCTCAGCCTTCCAAAGCGCGGGATTACAGGCTGAGCCACAGAGCCCTGCTTGGCCTCACACTATTAATTGTTGTATGGGTGTGGTCATGTTTTCTGCCAGAGACAATGTGAAGTGCTTCTTAGTTTTCACATAATAGTATGGGATAGGAGCCATATTTATGTGTCACTGATCTAAGAAAGCAAGACTCTGGCAGTTACTCCAGTTTCTAATTGGCGGTTGGGAATTGCCAGGCCTGCACGGTATTTAGTAAGGAATGAGAATTATGAATAAATGCTAGCTGTGCACACAGCTGGTTCACCAAAAGGGTCATTTTCTTAAGGGTAGAGAGATGGTTAAGCAGAGATCACATGCCCAGGAACCCATGGAGACAGAGCAGGTAATGAGCATGACCCTTGCAGTAAACCAGAAGACTTCTGCCTGATCTAGATGGGCTACTTCTCACCATTAGCCAGCATGTGCCATGTGGGAATATGACCCAGGTGTTGCCAGATGTCCTGTTTTTTTTCAGAAGAAGCCAGAGATATATGTATTTCTAAATATATGTAACTGATTCAGATACTTTGGGCCATAGTTGGCTCATGTTCCACAGTTTACTACCTTTGATTTAGAGTAGCACATCTCAGACTTTCTGGTATCAGGACTCTTTACACTCTTAAAAATCATTAAAGATCTCAGCCAGGCATAGTGGCTCACACTGGTAATTGCAGCACTTTGGGAGGCTGAGGCAAGAGGATTGCCTGAGACCAACCAGGGCAACTTGGAGAGATCTTGTCTCTACAATAAATCAGAAATAACATTAACTGGATGTGGTGGCACGCACCTGTGGTTCCAGCTACTTGGAAGGCTGAGGCGGGAGGATCACCTGAGCCCAGCAGGTTGAGGCTGAGGTGGCTGTGACTGTGCCACTGCACTCCAGCCTGGGTGACAGAGTGAGACTGACTCAAAAAAAAAAAAATCATTGAGGATCTCAAAGGGTTTTTGTTAATGTGGGTTGTATCTATTGATATTTGCCGTATTAAAAATTCAAAATGAAAACTTTTTATTGATTTAAATAATAAACTCATTATACATTAGCATAAATAACATATCTATGAAAAACAACTATGCTTACCAAAACAGTAAGATAGAAAATAGCATTGTTTTACATTTTTGGAAATAGAAGACACCTAATTCCTGTATCTGCTTCCTTTATTCAGTCTGTTGTGGTCTGTTAGGGTTTGGTTAAAGTACATAAAGAAAATCCAGCTTCACACAGATGTATATTTGGGAAAAGAAGGAATACTTAATAACCTTTTTAGATAATTAGGAGTATTATTTTTTCATGATACACCAAAAAGTAGATAAGTGGAAGTTTTGTAAAGGATAATTGCAATAAGGAATCTGAAAACATAGTGAATTTTTCATTCTTTGTTAAATTAAAACCCATTGGTCTGTCTTATACTTTGAATGGATCTTAAATCATGGATGCGTGATTTTGTACCATTATACATTGCTCATTTGGAAAATATTGGTTCATAGATTATAAATATCTTCAACTATTGATATTTCATTATTTCATGTTTCAAAAATCATACTCATTAATACCATCATCTCATCTGAAAAGTCTTTAAATATTGGGACACTAGGCCGGGCTCGATGGCTCAGCCTGTAATCCCAGCACTTTGGGAGGATGAGGCGAGTGGATTGCCTGAGCCTGCGGGTTCAAGACCTACCCAGGCAACTTGGCAAGACCTCTTCTCTACAGTAAAATAAACAATTAGCTGGGCGTGGTAGCGCGAGCCTGTAGTTCCAGCTACTCGGAAGGCTGAGGTGAAAGGATCACCGGAGCCCATCAGGTTGAGGCTGCAGTGGCCAGGAGTGTGCTACTGCACTCCAATCTGGACGACAGAGTGAGACTCCAACTCAAAAAACAAAACAAAAATTGGGACACTCTACAGCTAAATTGGCAAATACTAGTTTTCCAAAATTGTAATTTGTACATGAAAGCTCAGTTTTTATCGTTGGCAACAATTTGTTTGCTGTTTTCCTTGAAGTGATAAACTCAGTTCATTTTTTTTTTTTTGAATGGTTGTCTGCCAGATGCCAAAGTCTGAAACCCATAGTTTGTATATCAGTCTTTCAATTCTGTGAAAAAAGGCATCTAGATCAGCTCTCAACTCAGTTACATAAATGCCTTTTCTTGAGACAAACATTGAACATCAGTGCTTATTTTCCATCACACAGGATATTAAAAAGACAAGTATTGGTCAGATTAATAATTTTTAATTCTTCATTAAGGACATTCTCAAATGAAACAGACTTTTTTCCCTGCTAGTGTGACAGTGATGGATACGGTGACAACCAGTACAGTTAGGTGGTCCTTCCGTGATTGGTGCTAAGTCACCACCAATTTTACCCACCATTGTTTTTGCATCATCAGTGCAGAAGTCAACACAGAAAAAGAGACAAATTAGCCGGGCTCCGTGGCTCAGCCTGTAATCCCGCGCTTTGGAGGCTGAGGTGAGTGGATTGCCTGAGTCCGCGGGTTTGAGACCCGCCTGGGCAGCGAGACCTCATCTCTACAATAAATCAAAAAATCAGCTGGGCGTGGTAGCGCATGCCTGTAATTCCGGCTACTGGGAAGGCTGAGGCGGAAGGATCGCCAGAGCCCAGCAGGTTGAGGTTACGGTGGCCGGGAGCGGCCACTGCACTCCAGTCTGGGCGACAGAGTGAGACTCCAACTCAAAAAAAAATAATAAATAAAATAAAAGAGACAAATTATACATAGTATTATGAAAATAGTTGCTGGGTGCGGTGACTCATGCCTGTAATCCCAGCACTTTGGGAGGTAGAGGCTAGAGGATTGCCTGAGTCCAGGGGTTTGAGACCAGCTTGGGCAACTTGGTGAGACCTCATCTCTACAGTAAATGAGCGTGCCACTGCACTCCAACCTGTGTGACAGAGTAAGACTCCTACTCAAAAAAAAAAAAAAAAAAAAAAATAGTTGTGGCCTCTCAGACCACCTAAAGGAACTTGGATCTCCCAAGGGAGTGCACGTTACATTTTGAAAATGAATGCTTTAGAGGAATGAAAATAAGTCTCTGTCCTTCAAGCTTTCATAGACGAATCTATTAAAAGAGGGTGTGCTCTGTGGGAAGAAGCAAAGATAAACTGTCCACACATGGGAGTAGACCTACATTCCTACGGTGTATGAAATTTAGATACTCCACATCCTAGCCAAGCCTCAGGGCTGAGAAGTAGAAAATGTTCTGATAAGATCTCAGTGAGGAGCCCGTAGCATAACTTTGGTAGAAACTGTGGGAAGGTGTTTTCGCTTCATTAGATCTGCCTTCATTATATATCCAGAAAGTTATTAGTACAGTTTGCATGAATGCACAGCAGATAAATAGTATACAAGATGAAATTTATATGTCTACCCAGGGAACATAGAGCTCTCAGTCTCTCTTCCTCTCTTTCTCCTTTTTTTTTTTAACCTAAAAATTTTATTTGACTGGAACATTGAGACCACCCAAAATGATCGTGAGCAAGTTAAAAGGCATTTTATTTTATATTTGGAGTTGGTGAAATTACGTGCCTTAACCTAGAAAACCCAATCCTTTCAAATATATACAGAGAGTACTGCTATAACCTCTTGTTTCTTGTTTAAGACAGGATTTTGCAACCTAACCCCTATTGACATTTTGGTTCATATAATTCTTTGTTGTGGAGGCTGCCATTGTAGAATATTTAACACCATCACTGCCAGTAGCACATTCTGAAATGCCAGTAGCACCCTCCAAGTTGTGACAACCAAAAAATATGTCTAGACATTGCCAAAGGTCCCCTAGGGGAGCAAAACACAGATGAGAACTCTTTCCTTAAGGTGACCTAGATTGTTGTTTCTTGTTTAGCATATATCTCATCAGACTCATAAGCCTCTCTCTGTCCACATCTTATTTTATCCCTCCTCCTCCTCTCATTCTTATTAAACCTACTCATATTTCATTCTCCATGCTTTTTTTTTTTTTTTTGGTTAGACAGATAAGAATGTCATGTTATCTTTTATTTAACCATATATTAAGAGATTTGCAAAAATGTAAAACAATGCCACTTATCCTACTAAATTTTTTTGTGTGGAAACATCTGTATTACATGTCTTTGGTCATTGGAGTTATTACTTTTTTTTTTTTTTTTTTTTGAGTTAGGGTCCCCACTCTGTTGCCCAGGCTAGAGTGCAGTGGTACACTCATGGCCACCCCAGTGTCGACCTGCTGGGCTCTGGTGATCCTTCCACCTCAGCCTTTCCAGTAACCAGGACTACAGGCATGTGCTACCATGCCCGGCTAATTTTTTATTTGTTGTAGAGACGAGGTCTTGCCAAGTTGCCCAGGCTGGTCTCGAACCTGTGGGCTCCAGCAATCCACTTGCCTTGGCCTCCCAAAGTGCTGGGATTACAGTCTGAGCCATCAAGCCTGACCAATTGGTATTATTTTTATTTTTATTTATTTATTTATTTATTTTTGAGTTGGAGTCTCACTCCGTCGCCCAGACTGGAATGCAGTGACCGCTCCCAGCCACCGCAGCCTCGACCTGCTGGGCTCTGGTGATCCTTCCGCCTCAGCCTTCCAAGTAGCTGGAACTACAGTCACGTGCTACCACGCCCAGCTAATTTTTCTGATTTATTGTAGAGATGAGGTCTTGCTAAGTTGCCCAGGCAGGTCTCGAACCCGCGGGCTCAGGCATTCCATTCACCTCAGCCTCCCAAAGTGCTGGGATTACAGGCTGAGTCACCGAGCCCGGCGGTATTCTTTTTTAAATGAATCACTATATTAACAGTTTCTCAGTTTCTATTTCTAATGTGAAAAATATCAGTAACTGTAACCCATGTAAACAGAACTCTTCAGGTCCTCAATAATTTTTAAGAATGTAAAGAGGTGTAAGACCAAAAAGTCTGAGAACTGCTAGTCTATAAGTTTATATAAACATAACATTTTCTCCAGAATCTAGCATATGAGCACTCAAATCAATAGTAGCAGTTAATATGTAGTAGGAGCTTAGGAGAGTGCCAGGAGTTAAGACTGAAGAGATAGTTTGGGCTTAGGTTATGAAGGATCTTTTATACCATTCATAGAATCTTAAAAAATTGTGCTAAAATACACATCACATAAATTTCCCATTAGTGACATTTAGTAAATTTACAATGTTATGCAATCATCACCATGATCTGTTTCAGAACATTTCCTTGTGTTCATGCTTTTTACACTGGCTGTTTGCCTAGTCTATTTGTTCCTGCCTTCCTTATTCCTTTTCAGCAAAGACCTACATGATTTGTTAGACCAGTTATGTCCTCAATGCCATTCTAGAGACTTTTGCTGCCTTTGCCCTCCACTCTTCTCCAACCTTAAGTATATCTCTTTTTCTCTAGGGCCAGTGAACACTGCTATAGATTTTTCCAAGCCAAGCAGTAGACTATGCTTACTGGGATCTGTGAAAACCACCTGTACCTTGCCTCAGCAGCACTCTTGTACCCTCCCAGCAGTCTTTTGTTTAACTCTTTTTGTTTCCTGTATCATTCCTGGGTAAAGAGGTTTTCATTCTGTTTGTTCTATCATTCTTAACTCTCAGTGACGACCTTTTCCCTACTTCAGCAGGATCCAGGACAGCGACAAGAGCCCTCAACTTCCTTCTTCTTGATCTCCTATTGTTTATCTCTGTGCTCCTGTTTTTTTCAGACAGAATCTGAACCTCTGTCTTGTTTCTTGCCTTGTCTGGAGCCCAGTTCCTCCAGCCTTCCCTCTTCCATGGTTATCTTTCCCAAGTTATTCTGCTCTTCTTGGAAACATCCTTAGGTCTCCCCTAATTTAAACAAGTCCTTCCTCGATAGTCAAGCTGCTATTTTGTCCTTGGTTCTCCTGCCCTGTACTGCCAAACATATTGAGAGAATCTCTACTCATTTTTCTTAAAACACGACTTCTACTCCCCCCACTCTACTGACATTTCCCTCCCAGAAGTCATTGAGCTGTGAGTGGTCCTGGTTCTCCATAATGTCTGATTACATCCTTCCTTTTTTCTTCTAAATCCCTATGCTGACTTTGAAAGCATTATGCTGTCTCAATCTTCTTATGTCCATGTTGGTTGGTTCCCTTCCCTCTTTCTTATACTGCTATCTAGCCTCAGATTATAGATGTTCTCCTAAAACTCTGTTTTGACTCTATTAAGAGCGACACCTTAAAAATGCACTGAGGCCGGGCACGGTGGCTTAGCCTGTAATTCTAGCACTTTGGGAGGCCGAGGTGAGAGGATTGCCTGAGCCTGGGGGTTCAAGACCAGCCTGGGCAACCTGGTGAGACCTCGTCTCTACAGTAAATTAAAAAATAAGCCAGGCGTAGCAGTGCATGCCTGTAGCTCCAGCTACTTGGAAGGCTGAGATGGAAGGATCGCCTGAGCCCAGCAGGTCAAGGCTGCAGTAACCGTGAGCATGCCACTGTACTCTAGTCTGGGTGACAGAGTGAGACGCTGACTCTCTCTCTCTCTCACACACACACACACACACACACACACACACACACACGTACACGCACAATGCACTGAATCCTCCCTCTCCCCGCCTTTTAAAAAAATAAATGGCATTAACAAACTATGATTCTTGCCTAGTGTTGTCATTTATATGAAGAACTCTCCCTTTCACAGAGAGAAATTGTATTATACCAATAGGAGGACATTTTGCTAAATTCCTGTGAGAAATTTCTCTCTGACCAGGAATTCTACTTGTTTCTATTTATTGTTTCAAATAGAGAATAGTAGGGGAGTTGGCCCTTCATGCCTCAGATGAGATGAGACAATTATGATTGGAGGTTATTATTATACATGCCCTTGAGTTATGGTTGAATGTTACCAAGGGCCTACCCTTTCTGCCCCAGGAAAGGGGATAAAAAGGCTTAAGAATATTTAATTTCTTAGACCCCATCACACACTCATGGCTGAGTATCTCCCCCTTTATCTGAGTGAGCTGCACAAATTGCTTCAGTATTCAAAATATCACCACCTTTGGCAGAGGGCTAGAAACTACGCGATGGTTTCAGCACATAGAGGCTGATAAACGTGGCATTGGAAAAGGAAATACAGCCGGGCTCGGTGGCTCAGCCTGTAATCCCACGTCTTTGGGAGGCTGAGGTGAGTGGATTGCCTGAGCCTGTGGGTTC